GGTGTTTTCTCTGGATTGATCGCTTTCCAGAATGATCTTTGATCAAAGATTCTGTGCTCCACTATTTTATGCTTCTCTGATTCCCTCGACCTTTGCTTCCCTGCCTCCAAACCTCCTCCAGATTGCTCCCAGACAGACCCGGAGCAGACCCTGCTGAGAGAGCGTTTTGAGGACGCCCTTCGACTGGCGGAGCGCTTTACCCGGAGATACGACGAAATCCTCAAGGCTTTCCAGGAGGAGATGCTCAACACCACGAGTCTCCTGGACCAGCTGAACCAGCAGTTTGGCTGGGTGTCCCGACTGGCCAACGTCACGCGGAATAGCGACAAACTTCTGCAGGTCACCATGGTGGGTGTCTCCTTGCCCCGGTGCCTAGTCCGCCAATAATGCTCTGCCATGCTTTGCTCAGCCTAACTACGGCTTGTTTGCATGTGCGGATGCAGCCAAGCACACTGACCATGGTTTGTTGCCTTACGGACCATGGCTTAACAGTGGTTTGGCATTATGTCCAAACACAAAAACCTTGCTTAGCCATGGTTGTTTTTTGTTGTTGTTAGCCGTGGTTGTTTGTTGTTGTAATTTACAGTGGACGCTCGGGTTGCGAATGTGATCCGTACAGGATGCACGTACGCAACCCACAGTGTTCGCAACCCACGTCTGCGCACGCACGGGTTGTGATTCAGCACTTCTGTGCATATGCAAAGCAAGACTTAGTGCTTCTGCGCATGCGCGACCACTGAAACACGGAAGTAACCCATTCCGGTAGCTTTGTTGTGACTTTTGTTAATCTTTAGGTAGATTTTAGGGCCAGGAAACAGAGTTCACATGTAGGTGGTAAAATGCCCGTCTTTCCTTTTACTGCCTATTTATGACCTCCGGGATTTGCTAAATGCATTCCTCCTGGGTTCCTGTTTTATTTAGCCTAAATGCATGCTCAAATAGCAAATAGTTCTTTGTAGTTAAGAGGCTTCCTCTGATCGTACTTTGTCCCCACGTGGGGATTTTTTGAAATGCTCAGAGGAAAGCAGATTGGTTCTTACAAATGCTGTGTAAAAGTTCTTTTGTTAATAAAAACGACCTGGGTCAGGGAGTGGGATGCGCACTTTCTCCCAGGGTCTTGCTGGTCAAGCCTCTTGTCTATTGTATTAATCAGGGTCCAGTCCGTCCTTTGCCTTAAGAACGCAACACCAGTCACAGCTGGGAGAAACCAGTGTGTAGCAAGAGCCACCTTCTGAATCAGTTGCATGTGCTAAGAGCCATTGATCTGCTTCCCCCCCTCTTCTTCAAGGTGGCGACCAAAACTTCTGACCCCGCGGACCCAGCCCAGCCGTCGGACACACAGGTGACCGTCCAGCTCTTTGACTCCGAGCCGCTGACCCTGTTGGTGCCGGGGGACCTGGAAGTGAAAGATCCCCGATTCATGGACCTGGTGACCAAGCAGGCCATCCGCCAGTTCAAGGCCAACGAAGTGTAAGTGTCCGGAGGGTGATGTGGCTCAGTGGCTAGAGCTATCCGCCTTGCAGGGGAAAGGTTCTGGGTTCGAATTGCGGTGGCACTTCCAGGTAAGGCTGGGGGAGAGACTCTGTGCCTGAAAACCCAGACAGCCATGGCTGCCAATCCGTGTAGACCAGGGTTTCCCAAACATCTTGTTTTTTTGGACTACAACTCCCATCATCCTGAGCTAGCAGGGGATGATGGGAATTGTAGTCCAGAAATAGCTGGAGGGAGCGCATTGTGGAGTAGATCTGGTTCCATCTTTTAAGCAGGGGTTGGAAGGCCACCAGGGATGGATGCTTTTAGCTGAGATTCCTTTCTTGCAGGGGGTTAGACTAGATGACCCTGGGGTGTCCCTCCCAACTCGTGATTCATTATTCTTATCCCCCTACTTGTACAATTCCCAGAGTTTCCTGTGAATGATTTATTGCTAAAGCACTCTTTTGGCCACATTCACACCATACCTTTAAAGAGCTATTTAGTTTATAAAATTTATACACTGCTTGATTTAAAGAGAAAAAAAGAAAGACCACAGAGTGGTTTTAAAAAAATATATTAAAAAATTACTGACAGAAATTTAAGACTTTTGAAAAGTTAGAATAATGGTAGACCAAACAGACTAACTAGATACCATTTTAAACAGTAATAGTTTCCCAGAAATAATTCTGGGAGCTGTAGTTTAAGGGCGCTGAGCATTGTTCGGAGATCCTTATTTCCCCCACAGAGCTACAATTTTCAGAGCGATTTATGGCTTAACCATCCTTCCTTCTCCACGGCGAACTCTGGAAATTGTAGCTCTGCCCTCCTAAATAGCTCTGCATGCCCTGAGAAAACTACATTTCCCAGGGTTCTTTGGGGCCAGCCATGTCTGTTTAAAGCAGTTCTCTTTGGGCTCTACCATTCAGGACCGCGGGAGGGGTCTCTCGCGTGGGATCGGAGTTTGCTCACTGGCGCGTTCCATCGCGCGACACCCCCCATCTGCACCCAGTCCGAAGGGGTCCAGCCCAGACACAGGGCTACTTAACTTTTGGGGGGAAACTGAGCCCCTTGAGCTTTAGCCAAGGCAGATGGCGCAGGCTCCCCCAAGAGGCCATGCCTCGAATTGGGGGCTCCAAACGGTGTACCCCCCCTCTCAGAAATAAGCTGGGCTCCATGGGCTCTTCTTGTGGAGCTTCCACGGCCAGGGGCAGTCTACCTGGATTCCTAGTTTCTCAGGGGTATTTGACCACTGTATCTGGCTATTTACCCTATTTTTCGCCCCATAAGACGCACCCGACCATAAGACGCACCTGGTTTTTAGAGGAGGAAAGGGGGAAAGCCCTCGTTTTTTGAGGATCAGCTCAAAGTTGTGCAGCTTCTTTTGCAAAGCGGAAAAGCCCCCCCCCCCTTTTTTGAGGATCAGCTCAAAGTTGTTGAGCTTACTTTGCAAAGGGAAAAAATCCTGTTTTTATGGGGCTCAACTAATAGAGTTCTGCAGCTTCTTTAGGAAAGGAAAGGGAGCCCTTTCTACAGTTTCCAGACAGATAATCTAATCAGACAGTCCCACGTCGCTGGGGAAACAAACAGCCTCCGTCTGCAGAACATTAAAAAATGGAGGCCAGCGATCGACCACACATTCGCTCCATAAGACGCACAGACATTTCCCCTTACTTTTTAGGAGGAAAAAGGTGCGTCTTATGGAGCGAAAAATACAGTGTAGTTCTTCCGCAACAAATAACTTTCTCTTTTCCCCTTCTCTCCCCCCCCCAAATTCCAACAGGGAGTAGCTTTGCCTCCCCCCCCCCCGCCGCCCCACCCCGGATCTCAGGCCACGACAAGGGAGAGAGAGAGAAGCCATAGCCTTCTGCCGTTCCTGCTGCCAATGCTCTCTTAGCGCGCCTCAGAGGACCTTCGCCCGCCAAGCGCTGTCCGTCTGTCTTAGTAGTTTACACTGTACCGCCTGCCCTGTTTTTGCTGCTGGGTCTTTGCCGATCCGAACCCGAAATAAAAGATTATATTAGGCCCAACGCTCTGGGACGTATTGGTGCTGTGTGTGTGTTTCCTCTAGGTTTGGTTTTCTAGAGGAGAAACCTTAGGAAGAACTTTCTGAGACTTAAGAGCCATTGGACTCCCTCTGAAAGTGGATGTTCCTCCCCTGGAGGTTTTTAAACAGAGGTCCGGTGGCCGACTGCCGGGGGTTCATTAGCTGCGATTCTTGCATTGCGGAGGGTTGGGATAGATGACCGCTGAGGGTCCCTTCCAAGTCTACAGTTTTATGAATCTCTGTTTCAGTCATTAAGCAGTAACTGCAGGCATGCGAGTTGGGCCCTTGGCGCTTGTGTACTTAATGAGCAGGTGTATTAAAGGTAAAGGGACCCCTGATCATTAGGTCCAGTCGTGGCCGACTCTGGGCTTGCGGCACTCATCTCACTTTACTGGCCGAGGGAGCCGGCGTACAGCTTCCAGGTCATGTGGCCAGCAGGACTAAGCCGCTTCTGGTGTACCTATTTATCTACTTGCACTTTGAGGTGCTTTCGAACTGCTAGGTTGGCAGGAGCAGGGCCTGAGCAATGGGAGTTCACCCCGTCGCGGGGATTCGAACCGCCGACCTTCTGATCGGCAAGTCCTAGGCTCTGTGGTTTAACCCACAGCGCCACCCGCATCCCTAGAAGGTGTATTACTACCTTGCAAAATGTGCCTGCCTTTGTAGCTTGGCCCTTAACACACTTTTAATATACAGTGGTACCTTGGTTCTCAAACTTAATCCGTTCCAGAAGTCCGTTCCAAAACCAAGGCACGCTTTCCCATAGAAAGGAATGCAAAACGGATTAATCCGTTCCAGACTTTTAAAAACAACCCCTAAAGCAGCAATTGAACATGAATTTTACTATCCAACAAGACCATTGATTCATAAAATGAAAGCAATAAACAATGTACTGCAGTCACACAATCAGTCAGTAGCTGAACTGGGTTCCACACAGTCACAAAAAAATAAGAGCCGCAAAAACAAAAATGCGAAATAAATAGCAAAAACAGACAGACCTCAGCGTAACACTCAAAACGGAAGCGTGGCACTCAAATCGGATCCGTAACACTTAAAATGGAGCACGTTCGGCTTCCGAAAGAAGTTCACAAACCGGAACACTTACTTCCAGGTTTGCAGTGTTTGGGTTCAAAGTTGTTTGAGTACCAAGGCGTTAGAGAACCAAGGTACCACTGTATAGAGACAAACAACAAGGTTCACTAAATAATATTTCACGGTCTCTGCCTGCAAACATGCCATAACTATAAAGCGCATTTGCCCCCACTAGATTCCACGGAGGGAAAATATGCTTTAAATGTATGGCGTGTCCGTATTTGCTCTTCCTCAGGCTGAAAAGTCACTCGCAGTTCTGAAAATTATTTTAGAACGCATTGCTGACAATACAAATTCGCAGCACCCATAGGCCCATCTCTCAGGTCTGTGATAAAAAGGGTCGTTCACAGGCTGGATTTTGTAGGGAACAAAAATGCAGTCAGTGGCTCAGTAGCCCAATTTATTAGCTTTATTTCCATATTTCATATTGGGGACACAACAGTTGCTAATACAGGTGTAGGATCAGACCCGAATTTGCCTTCTCTACCCCAACACCACCCCTGAAGTGTAGCTCTAATTTTACACCTTCCTCTTAGAGGTTTAGTAAGCCGAAAAGACCCCCATCACCAATACAAATCCAGCCATGCAAACACATACTAGCAGAAGCCTAGATAGGGTGCTCAGGTCTCCGTCGTCAGCGCAGCAGCACGTTTAGCAACCGTGACAACCTTCACACAGTTGCATGTGCTCCTTGTGTGAAAAGCACATATGCACATGGTCGGACATTTGCAAGTCGGCTGCAGATTTTGGATGTCTGGGAGGGAACACGGGTGACCCAAATTTCTCAACCAACCCCCTTGGCACTTGAACCCCAATTGCAATTCTAAAAAACCCTGATTTCAAAATTTAAAACTTTGCACTTCTCTCCTGGAGCAACCAGATTCAAGAGCTGTTCCAGCAACGTGGTTTTGTAAGGCAGAGTTCCTGCAAAAAGACTGGCTTTTAGCTCCCTCCAGGTACCATCACGGCTGGAAGTGGGCCGGTGGGTTTTGGAAACTTGCAAGGTGACGTTCTCCCCGGCTGAAGGCAGCCAGCCCTGTGCCGAGAGGGAAGAGCTATAGCCCAGTGCTAGGACACCTGCTTGGACTGCAGAAGGTTCAAGGTAAACTCTCCACTGGCATTTCCAGGTAAGGCGGGGAGAGAACCCTGCCAGCCTGTGTAGACAGTGTAGACTTAGATGGACCCGAGGCTCTGACTCTGACAAGACACCTTCTTCCGAGAGCTCTGCACCCGTTATCATGACATCCCAGGGTGAGTGGAGGCAGCCTGGAGGTAGCAAGCCAGGCCAGGTCTGTCCGAAAAACGTGAGCACCCTCATTCCCCGAAAACTCGATTTTGCATGCCCACTGCAATCAACCACCCTACAGAAGTCGGAGTGCCGGATCTGTGGCTCAGCTGCTCCTCTGCTCCTGGATAGCCTTTGCCACGGACGCCACGGCGGCCTCGTTCATCTCGCAGGGGTAGAATCCATCCTGGATGCTGTAGCAGGCATGCACCGTGCGCACCAGGGCTTCGTGCTGGACCTGCCGCTGGGTGTCCAAGATCTCTTGGGTGCTGCCCTTCGGCTTGTGGTGAAGGACGACCAAGACGGCTTTTCGCACTCCTGGGGTGGGGGGAAAGGGAGCGGAAACATCATTATCATTTATTATTATTGTTATTATTATTATTATTACAGTGGTACCTCTGGATGCAAACGGGATCCATTCCGGAGCCCCGTTCGTATCCAGAAACGAACGCAACCCGCGTCCGCGAGTCGTGATTTGCCGCTTCTGTGCATGCGCGTGAATTCGTTCTGAGCGTCTACGCATGCGCGAGTGGTGAAACCCGGAAGTAATGTGCTCCGTTACTTCCGGCTCGCCACAGCATGCAACCTGGAAATACTTATCCCGAAGCTACTTCAACCCGAGGTATGACTGTATTAAGAAACCAGGAAGATGGAGTATTTCTAAAGACTGGAGTCAATTTGTACAGCCATACCTCAGGTTACAGCCGCTTCAGGTTGCGTTTTTTCAGGTTGTGGAGCGCGTTACTTCCGGGTTTCGCTGCTCGTGCATGCGCAGATGGTCAAAATGATGTCACGTGCATACACAGAAGCGGCAAATTGCGACCCACAGACACTGGCCGTGTTCGCTTCTGGATGCAAACGGGGCTCCGGAACGGGTCCCGTTCGCATCCAGAGGTACCACTGCACCTTTTTAAAGCCCATGACATGAGCCTGTTGGCTGGATCAGGCCAGAGGATGCTCACCTGCTCTAGCATCCCGTTTCCCCAGTGGCCAACCAGTTGCCCTTACTGGGAAGCCTGCAAGGGGGGACGGGAATGCAAGTTGGGGCAGAGCGCAGACCTGCTTGCCCTGCAAGAGCTACTCACTGTTCAGCGCCGCCAGGGCACAGAGTGTGTCGCTGCCCACGCGGGAGGAGACAGGGCAGAAGAGGAGGAGGAAGCGGCCAGACTTCTCTTCATAAGCCTCCTGCTGGAGGGAGATCCCGAGGCCCACCAGGAACTTGGAGACGTCGTTGACAATGTCCTTCTCGCAGCCTCCCGTCTGCCCAGTGGTCCAGACCTCCACGGGGAAGGCTGGGGAGAGGAAGAAGGGAATGGGGAGAGAGAGACCCCTTTCAGTTCATGGCTGGAATCCCACCCCTACTTGGCTACATTATTATTTTTGTTTATTGATTTACAGTGGACGCTCGGGTTGCAAACGTGATCCGTGAGGGAAGCACGTTCGCAACCCGCAGTGTTCGCAACCCGCAGCAGCACGCTAGCGCATGTGTGGGTTGTGATTTGGCACTTCTGCACATGCGCAAAGCACGGTTTAGTGCTTCTGTGCATGTGCAACCGCCCAAACCTGGAAGTAACCTGTTCTGGTACTTCCGGGTTTCGGCGGGTGCGTAACCCGAAAAAACGCAACCTGAAGCGGCTGTAACCCGAGGTATGACCATACAAGGTGAGGGTAGCCGATGGGAGTTGTAGTCAAATCATCTTCCCGGAATAATAATAATAATAATAATAATAATAATAATAATAATAATAATAATAATAATAATATCTGGCTGGGTTTTCCCTGCCACTCTGAGTGGCTCCCAACAGAATATTAAAAGCATGAGAAAACATCAGACATTAAAAACTTCCCTAAACAGGGCTGCTTTCATAAATCTTCTAAAAGTCAAATAGTTGTTTATTTCCTTGGTCATCTGATGGGAGGGTATTCCACTGGGTGGGCGCCACCACCGAGAAGGCCCTCTGCCTGGTTCCCTGTAACTTGGCTTCTCGCAGGGAGGGAACCACCAGAAGGCCCTCAGCGCTGGACCTCAGTGTCCGGGCAGAACAATGGGGGTGGTGACGCTCCTTCAGATATACTGGACTGAGGCCGTTTAGGGCTTTCAAGGTCAGCACCAACACTCTGAATTGTGCTCAGAAACCCACTGGGAGCCAATGCAGGTCTTTCAGGACCGGTGTTATGTGGTCTCGGTGGCCGCTCCCAGTCACCAGTCTAGCTACCGCATTCTGGATTAGTTGTAGTTTCCGGGTCACCTTCAAAGGTAGCCCCACATAGAGCGCATTGCAGTAGTCCACGCGGGAGATAACCAGAGCATGCACCACTCTGGCGAGACAGTCCATGGGCAGGGAGGGTCTCATCCTGCATACCAGATGGAGCTGGTAGACAGCTGCCCTGTACACAGAATTGACCTGCGCCTCCATGGACAGCTGTGAGTCCAAAATGTCTCCCAGGCTGCGCACCTGGTCCTTCAGGGGCGCAGTTACCCCATTCAGGACCAGGGAGTCCTCCACACCTGCCCACCCCATCCACCCAAAACAGTACCTCTGTTTTGTCAGGATTCAACCTCAATCTGTTGGTCGCCATCCATCCTCCAACCGCCTCCAGGCACTCACACTCAAAATGGCTGCATTTGGGCTGTGCTTACCTGTGAGTGCGGGAGCAGAACTGGGCCAGGAGGAAGAAGTCCATCTCTGGGATCCGGGGCTCCTCTGGAGTCTCGCATTCTCTTGACGGAGCCAGTCGTTCTCTTGCACCAGGTGTGACACTCGGATGTCCTTCTCCTCCAGCTCCTGCAGGAGCTCCCCATTCTTTCCCAGTAGCTCGGACACCAGTTTTTCCTGGTCCTCCAACTTCTCCTGGACTTGATGCTTCTCCTTCAGCAGACGGGACACTTCCTCTTTCTGCTCCTGCAGCTGCCGGTTCTCTTCCAGCCTGTGGGCTGTTTGCTGTTCCTGGATGCTCTGAAGCTGCCGATTTCTCTCCTGCAGCTGGAAAACGAGCTCCTCTTGCTCGCTCAGCTGCTGACGGAGCCGCTGGATGGCTTCCAGCAGGTTGGGCTTTGCGGCTGGCAGGCTGCTTCTCAGGGGCTGATCGTTGGCCAACAGCTGGGCAGCGATTCGGACAACCACCTCCTGGGCCTGGAGGAATTGGGAGGCCAAGGGGTGCAAGGAACCCCTCAAAGTCTGCAAAAGAGGGAAGGTCCCAGGCTGTCAAGGCAATCTAAGCAGTGAAGTGGGGCGAGCCCAGAGCCTTGTGGGAAACTCCTTGAGCTATGTAACAGGGCTTGTAAGAGGAGTCTTGGAGGTGGGACTGACTCCAACTGCACAAAGCTGAGGTTGCTGAACACTTGGGCTGTTGAGGGGCTTTTATTGTTTACGACCAATTAATTAAATGAAATAGTTTTAATTGGGTTTTGAAAAAGAAGAAAAAGATGCAGTTAACTTTTCCTGTTTTGAATGTCACCAGAGAGCCAGTGTGGTGGTAGTGGTTAAGAGCGGTGGACTCGTAATCTGGGGAACTGGGTTCGCTTCCCCGCTCCTCCACCTGCAGCTGCTGGGTGACCTTGGGCCAGTCACACTTCTTTGAAGTCTCTCAGCCTCACTCACCTCACAGAGTGTTTGTTGTGGGGGAGGAAGGGAAAGGAGAATGTTAGCCGCTTTGAGACTCCTGAAGGGGAGTGAAAGGCGGGGTATCAAATCTAAACTCCTCCTCCTCCTCCTATTATTCCTGTTCTGCAGGGGGTTGGACTAGATGCCCCTCGGGGTCCCTTCCAACGCTACAAGACTATGATGCCTCTCAGTTACTTGCCTGCAGCTGTGACTCCAGAGAGCCCGCCTCTGTCTGACTTGATGCTCCGTTTGCCGTGGTGCAACTTCCACTCTCTGCCGTCTCTTGAACCTGGTCCTGTAAATAGAGATGATGATGATGATGATGATGATGATGATAATAATAAACTTTTTTTTATTTATACCCCTCCCTCCCCAGTGGAAGCCGGGCTCAGGAGTGGCTAACAACAATAAAAGTAACACAGCATTCTAAAATCAATTTGTTTTAAAATCAGTTCAAAATCAAATTAATGGCAACCATTGGGCTAGAGTTCTATGAGGATCACAGAAGGAGGGGGTCAGACTGTGCCCTGGCCAAAGGCCAGGTGGAACAGCTCTGTCTTGCAGGTCCTGTGGAAAGATGTCAAGTCCCACAGGGCCCTAGTCTCTTGGACAGAGCGTTCCACCAGATTGGGGCCATGGCCGAAAAAGCCCTGCCTCTGGCTGAGGTCAGCCTAAGCTCCCTGTGGCCTGGGACCTCCAAGATGTTTTTGTTTGAAGACCGTAAGGTCCTCCGTGGGACATAGCAGGAGAGTCGGTCCCGTAGGTACGAGGGTCCTAGGCCGTATAGGGCTTTAAAGGTCAAAACCAGCACCTTAAACCTGATCCTGTACTCCACCGGGAGCCAGTGCAGCTGGTATAGCACTGGGTGAATGTGATCTCGCAGCGAGGACCCTGTAAGGAGCCTCAACGTGGCATTCTGCACCTGCTGGAGTTTCTGGGTCAGTCTCAAGGGCAGTCCCACGTAGAGCGAGTTACAATAATCCAGTCTGGAGGTGACCGTCGCGTGGATCACAGTGGCTAGGTCAGGGCGAGAGAGGTAAGGAGCCAACTGCTTAGCTTGGTGGGGATGGAAAAATGCCGCCTTTGTTATAGCTGCAATCTGCGCCTCCGTGGAAAGGGAGGTGTCGAAGATTACACCCAAACTCTTAACGGACGGTGCTGGCACTAATTGCACCCCCGCAAGAGATGGGAGTTGCCCCCTCAATCCCATATCGTCCCGACCCAGCCAAAGGACCTCTGTCTTCGAAGGATTTAACTTCAACCGGCTCCCACGTAACCATCCAGCCACAGATTCCAGACATCTGATCAGTGTGTCTGGGGCCGAGTCAGGATGGCCGTCCATCAACAGATAGAGTTGGGTGTCATCAGCATACTGATGGCAGCCCAGCCCAAAACTCCGGACAGGTGAGCCCAAACAGGTTCATGCTGCTTTTAAGAGTCTCATCACTGTTTGCTGGGATCCAGATCTCATTACTCTCGACCCCCTGGGGCCATAGCTGTCAACTTACAGATTTGAAAATAAGGGACCAGCAGCCTTGAAAATAAGGGACCAGCAGCCAAAATAAGGGACCTGCAGTGTTAAGTCGTGGGTTGACATAGCAGCCGGCACAGCGATTTCTTCAAGTAGCTCTTTATTCTGGTAAGCTGGAATACAACTGACTGCGACAGCTCAGCCGGCCTGTATTTATAGGCAGCCGGCTGTCAACATTGTAACCACAACAGCCCAGAGTTCCCGCCTAAAATAACTGCCGCGGACCTGAGTGAAAACTATCTACAGACCTGAGTGAAAACTATATACAGTATCCCCCTGTTGGCCCAGGGTGAAACTACACTACATAACACCCCTCCCCACCGAGATAAGGCGTTAGTTCCAATCGTAATGGTTTCCTTATATACAGCACTACGCGTAATGGTTCCATTAAGCACAAAAGCATATCGGTTACATTTCCCATACTTAGACCAACAGTGATACCTGTCCAACAACATTGTCCTTTAAATAAGTTGGGCGCTTGGAAACTCTGCCAGACCGCCGGGGACTGGTAGCCAAGTCCGGAGGGCCACACAGTTCTCGCTGAGGCTGTGGTGCGACCCTAGGTGGCGTTGGAACCAACTCCCCTGGATCCGCTGCTGTGGGTGGAGCCTCCGCAAGTGGAGTGGTCTGAGTCTGTTCTGAAACGGCTTGGTTCGGCTCCACGCTGGCAGTTTGCGAGGGAGGTGTAGGTGGGGCCTCGCCATCTGTACGTGTCTCTTCTGGAGCCGCAAGCGCAGTTGGGGGCACCTCGGTAGTGTCCAAGTCCCCAACCCTGCGCCTAAGCTGGTCTATGTGCCGTCGCCACAAGCGTCCGTCTTCGAGTGCCACCTGGTACGAGCGAGGTCCAGTGACTCCCACTACTGTGGCTGGCACCCAAGGGATGTCCCCCACATAGTTCCGGGCAAAGACCTGGTTTCCTGGGACAAATGACCGTGGTGCGTTGGCACAGCCTGGGGGTTCAGCCACGGCAAAGTCTGGGTGTAGCTGGTCGAGCGGTGACCTGAGGCGGCGGCCCATAAGCAGTTCAGCAGGACTCCTCCCTGTGGCCGCATGAGGGGTGATGTGTTGCACGAACAAGTATTCGGTGACCCGCTCATGCCAGTCTCCCCGGTCCAGGCGCGCCAGTGCCTCTTTTGTCGAGCGCACCATTCTTTCCGCTTGCCCGTTGCTGGATGGATGAAAGGGTGCCGTTAGGGCATGGCGGATGCCCAGTCCCAAAAGATACCGCTCAAACGTGCCTGACGTGAACTGCGGTCCGTTGTCAGAGACAAGGACATCGGGACACCCATGCGTTGCAAACAGGCCTCGCAGCACCCGGATGACAGCTTCGGTAGTGGTGGAGGGCATCAGGGCGACCTCCAGCCATTTGGAATAGGCGTCCACCACTACCATAAAGGTCCGGCCGTGAAAGGGGCCAGCCAGATCGATGTGCACCCTCGACCAGGGTGTCTTTGGCGTCTCCCAGGTGTGTCCCTTAGCTGCCGGTGGTGCAGGCCTCGACTCCTGGCACGCTTGACAGGCGGACACCCAGGCAGTGATGGCATCGTCCATATTAGGCCACCAGACGTAACACCGAGCCAACGCCTTCATTTTGACAATTCCCGGGTGGCCAACGTGCAGAGCCTCCAGGACGCGCTGACGGAGTCCCTGGGGAATCACGACGCGGTCTCCCCACAGCAGGCAGCCACGATGAGCTGAGAGTTCATGTTGTCTGGTTGCGAAGGGCTGGAACTCCGATGCAAAAGGCCCTTGTGGCCACCCCCTCCACACCCAGTTGAGCACCCGGCTGATGGTGCGATCCTGGGCAGATGCGGAGGCCACAGTGGCAGCCGATACAGGCGCTGCCGGAAGATCCTCAATCAGAAGGAGCGATGAAGCTGGAGCCGGGTCTTCCACAAATGCTGGAAGAGGGCAACGGCTGAGGGCGTCGGCATGGCCCATCGATTTCCCCGGGCGATGGATGAGCCGGTAGTGGTAGGCAGCCAGGAAAACAGTCCATCGCAGCATGCGTGGTGAGAGGACCGGTGGAGTTGGACGATCACCGGCGAGGAGGCCCAGGAGTGGCTTGTGGTCAGTGATGAGGTCAAAAGTCCTGCCATAGAGGTATTCATGGAACCTCTTCACTCCAGCCACAAGTGCCAATGCCTCCTTGTCGAGCTGGCTGTAATTCCGTTCCGTTGGAGATAGTGTCCTGGAAAAGTAGGCGAGCGGTGCTTCTCTTCCATCTGGAAAACGGTGACTAAGGACAGCACCGATGCCAAAAGGTGAGGCGTCGCAGACAAGGACCAGCGGCCTGGATTCACTGTACTGTACCAGCACACTGTCTGAAGAAAGGAGAGCCTTGACCGCGTTGAAGGCCGCCGTCTCCCGATGACCCCAGGCCCAAGGCGTCTTAGTGCTAAGGAGTCGGTGAAGAGGCTCAGCCACTGTGGCTTTGTGGGGCAGGAACATGTTATAAAAGTTCAGCAGCCCCAGGAATGCCTGCAACTCCGTTTTGTTCTTTGGGGTGGGGGCCTGCTGGATAGCGCGGATCTTGGATGTGGTTGGATGAAGACCGGAGGCACCGATAAGATAGCCCAGGAACTCTACCTGTGGAACGGCGATCTGGCACTTCTCCCTCTTTACCTTGAGCCCGGCCTCCTGGAACCTGGTCAGCACGGCACGGAGGCGCTCGAACAGCTGCTGGTGTGAGTCTGCAGACACCAAGACGTCATCAAAATATGGTACCACGCCCGGAAGCCCTTGCAGGAGACGCTCCATAAGGCTTTGGAAGATGCCAGGAGCCACACTCACCCCGAACTGCAACCGGCGGCAACGGAAAGCCCCCCGGTGGGTGACGATCGTCTGGGCTTCAGCAGTGGCATCATCGACTGGCAGTTGTTGATAGGCTTGGGCAAGGTCCAGCTTAGCGAAGACCTTACCCTCACCCAGGGAATGCAGCAGGTGTTGGACCACAGGAACCGGATAAGCGTGCTGCTGAAGTGCCTTGTTGATCGTGCACTTGTAGTCAGCGCAGATTCTCACCGACCCATCTGGCTTGACAGGCGTGACGATGGGGGTTTCCCACTTTGCGTGGTCAACCGGCTCCAAAACTCCTTGGGCGATCAGTTTGTCCAGTTGTTCGTCCACCTTAGCCTTGAGAGCAAAGGGAACCCGGCGTGGCTTTAGCTTGATGGGGGCGACTTGTGGATCAAGGCTAAAGGAGATGGGCGTACCTGTATATTGGCCCAAGGTGCCGTCAAAAACCTCGGCAAAGTCTTTGACCAGACCCTCAGTCTCTGCGTTAGAGATGCAGTTGATGCCGGTGACTTCCAGGCCGAGGGCATCAAACCAGTCTAGCCCTAGGAGGCTTGGCCGCTGACCTTCGACCACCACCAACCGGAGCAGGCCCGAAAAATCCTTGAAAGCGATCCGGAACCGGCCAACGCCTACCACGGGAATGTCGTTTCCCTGGTAGTCTCTCAGGTGTACGCGGTGAGAGTCGAGTTGCCTTTTGGACACTCTGGGTACCAGTCTTTTGATGGTGCTCCATGACACGACGGACAGGGCAGACCCGGTGTCGATCTCCATGTCACATGGAGCTCCTTCAATGAGCACCGTGACGTTCAGCTTGCGTCGCGTAGGCGAGTCGGTTTGGCCAATCGTGGTTCCAGACGGGCAGCGGCAGTTGGTGAGAGCGAAACAACTTTCCTTGGCAGACTGGAGTGAAGACTTGGACTTGCGAGTCGATGAAGGGGGGTGTCAGACGGAGCCGATCGGCAGACCTTAGCGATGTGGCCCCTTCTGGAACACTTCCTACAGATGGCGTCTCTGAATCGACACTTGGCACGGGAATGGTTGCCTCCGCAGCCAGCACATTCCGGTTGGCCCTTGGACTTCTGTTGGAACTTCCTGCGCTCCCGCTTTGTCTGGTGCACGTCATCGTCTTCACTGGAGGATGCCTCATCACTGCTGGCCTTTTCATGATGCACCGGAACTGGCTCCCTAGCAAGACGCGGGCTGCTGGACTTGCGGATCTCCTGGGTGGAGCGTTCAGCAGCTTCTGAGGCCACAGCCTCCTCAATGGCTTTCTGTAGCGTGAGGTCTGGCTTGGCTAGGAGGCGCCGTTGCAGATGGATGTCCCGGACCCCGCAGACGATTCGATCCATCAGGGCATCGTCTAAGTCTCGGAACTCACAGTGCATTGCAGCCTGTCGCAGGGCGGTGGTGTAGTTGTTGATTGACTCCCCCTCTGCCTGGTTCCGGTGGTAGAACGCATGGCGGGCAGCAATCTTGGACGGCTTTGGTGCATAGTGGTTGCGGAGCTTCTCTTGGATCGTGTCCCATGGTGTTGCCTGGACTGCTTCAGGCGCAACCAACGCTCGGGCCGTCTCAAACACCTCAGGCCCACAGAGGCTGAGGAATAGGCCCCGCTTCCGATCCTTTGATACTGCTGTCAGCTCGTTGGCTTGGAGGTAGCAGTCGAACCGAGCGAGGTAGGAGTCCCACGATTCAGAGGCTGGCGCAAACGGCGGTAGAGGCACAAGTGAAGCCATGATTCCAATGCCGGCGTGAAGGGCGATGGATGGAACACAGTGCTCTAGCCAGAACAGTCAGCTCTGAATTGGTTCTGCCCAGTGATTTCGCTCAGTGATTTCGCTCTGTGATTCAGCTCAGTGATTCAGCTCAGTGATTCAGCTCAGTTCAGAGGCTGGCCGCATCTGGCTGTGCTCTGATGTCCATCCATCCCATCCTCGTCGCCAGTGTTGAGTCGTGGGTTGACATAGCAGCCGGCACAGCGATTTCTTCAAGTAGCTCTTTATTATGGTAAGCTGGAATACAACTGACTGCGAACAGCTCAGCCGGCCTGTATTTATAGGCAGCCGGCTGTCAACATTGTAACCACAACAGCCCAGAGTTCCCGCCTAAAATAACTGCCGCGGACCTGAGTGAAAACTATCTACAGACCTGAGTGAAAACTTTATACAGTATCCCCCTGTTGGCCCAGGGTGAAACTACACTACATAACATGCAGCCTCACCTGTTCCAGGCACTCCAGTCTTCCTGTCCTCCTGCAGTCTGGTCAAACTCATGCTGGTAGCTTCAAGAACACTGTCCAACCAACTTTGTAACCAGAGGTTCAACTGAATAGAATCTGAATCACATGCACCACAAGGCCTATGCAGCCTCAACTTAAGATGGCTCCCCGGCCTGGCTTTGAACTGCAAAGTTTGCAGCAGCACGTGCAACAAAATGGCGTCCAGCATTCAAAACCCCCCTCAGCTTGCATTAACTAGTCACACACAAGGCATGCAAGCTCCAACCCCCAGTCGTTCTTAAGACTTCTTATTGGGTGAGCAACACAGACAAGCAACACAGTTGGAGCCTCCCTCCTCCCTGGCCGGCAGGGAGGGAGGGAGAGGAGCTGCTTCCTTTGAAATTTAAGGGACATCATTTAAGGGACATCCATCAATAAGGGACAGCAGCAGGACATGGCGCTGCAATAAGGGACTGTCCCTTCAAATAAGGGACACTTGACAGCTATGCCTGGGGTTGTGGGAGCCTCCTAGGATGGTTTGCTGGCACCTTGTATGCCTCCTTCCGGCATTCCTGCAGCCAATCAGGTGTCAAATGTCTTGCTGTGCTTTCCTTTGAAACCCCTCAGCTAGGCCAAGAACCCCAAGAAGTCTTGCCACCTGGGAAGCCCAGGACCTTGATGCAGGCTTGCACCCCAGGAAAGTCGCTTCGGTGCTGCAAACACAGTGCTTTGACTTCACTCCTGGAAGCACACTCCATTGTCCCTCGAGACAGAGACGGATGCCAGCAACAACCCCTCCATCTTTGATGATTAATATAATCACCATTGCCATCTTATTGGTTTCTCACCTGCCCCTCAGCACGAGGTTCCCATGGTAAATTGCAATGATATAAAAGCACAATATTGAAAAAAAATTAATGAACTTCCCATCAGCAGTTTAAGAAGACGACTCTGTTACTTGCCTGTGGCTCTGAGTCCAGAGAGTCTTTTTCTGCCCGACTCGATGTTCGCTTTGACGGTGAACCACCTCTGCTCTCTGCCTGACCTTGCTCCCGGCGCTGCGAACACAGAGTGTGCCCTCAAAAACAGCACAAACAGGTATTGCTGAACTTAAATCGCCCATGAACACTGGCCATGCTGTCCAGGGCTGATGGGAGTTATAGCGTGAGATGCCAGGAGGGCGCCAGGTTGTACTATACTATTGCGTCGGGCAATCAGCCTTCCTGCCCCGAGCTTCGTTTCCCCCACATGCAACAACAGAGTAATAATAGTAATAGGTAAAGGGACCCCTGACCATTAGGTCCAGTCGTGCCCGACTCTGGGGTTGCGGCGCTCATCTCACTTTACTGGCCGAGGGAGCCGGCGTACAGCTTCCGGGTCATGTGACCAGCATGACTAAGCCGCTTCTGGCGAACCAGAGCAGCTCACGGAAACGCCGTTTACCTTCCCGCCGGAGCGGTACCTATTTATTTCTGCACTAAAGGATGTACCCGTATGAACTTTAAGCAGTCTAGGCTCTTGTTTAAATTATTCTTGCAGTACAGCAAAGCATCACATTTTGTTGGGAGTTTTTGCTGTTACTGATATTGACTTTTCGTATCTTTATTTTTAGGTGGAAATTGTTCAGATTGGCTATGTAGTTTTTAAAGTGTTTTATTTTTATGACATCTTTGCTTTGTTTGCAATTATGTAAATCTTTTCGTATTGTAAGCCACCTCGAGCATTGTTTTAACTCTGGAAAGGCGGTGTACAAAGAAAAAATGATGATGATGATGACGACATTCCCTGCATTGCAGTGGGGCTGGACTAGATGCCCCTTTGAGGTCCCTTCCAACTTTGCAATCCTGCCATTCCAAGGAGGCAAGTGACATGAGGAATGATAGAATCGTAGTGTTGGATTGGACTCCCCCAGGTCATCTAGTCCAACCCCCTCAAAGGCAGGAATCTCAACTTAAGCATCCATGACAGCGAAGCAGCCCAAAGACCCCCATTGAGGGGGTGCCTGGAAGTTAAAGCCAGCCCCGGGGTTTCCTGGCGTTGATTTTAGGACTTGCCTGCACCTCTGACTGTGGAGGGCTGGTTTTCGTCTGGCTTGAGGTTCCTCCCATTGGTGAATAATAGCGGCTGTTCGATTTCGAAGGCTGTAGACACGAGAAGAAGCCTCTTAAAAGCAGAACGAACATAAAGCAAGCAAGATCAGCCTTACTGAGGAGACAATAGCCACGCACTGGGAATGCTGCCTTGGAAGAGAGTCGAAGGGAACCCAGTGATCATCTAGTCCAACCCCCTCCAAGGCAGGAGTCTCAACTTGAGTCTCAACCTGGAAGCACACTCCATTGTCCCTCGATACAGAGACGGATGCCAGCAACAACCCCTCCATCTTTGATGATTAATATAATCACCATTGCTATCTTATTGGTTTCTCACCTGCCCCTAGGCACGAGGTTCCAATGGAAAATTGCAATGATATAAAAGCACAATATTGGAAAAAATGAACTTAATGAACTTCCCATCAGTAGCTTAAGAAGATGACTCTGTTACTTGCCTGCGGCTCTGAGTCCAGAGAGCCTTTCTCTGCCCGACTCGATGTTCGCTTTGACGGTGAACCACTTCTGCTCTCTGCCTCACCTTGCGAACACAGAGGGTGCCCCTTAAAGACAGCACAAACAGGTATCGCTGAACTTCATCACCCATGAGCATTGGCCATGCTGTCCAGGGCTGATGGGAGTAATAGCGTGAGACGCCGGGAGAGCGCCAGGTTGTACTATACTATTGCATCGGGTAATAATAATAATAATAATAATAATAATAATAATAATAATAATAATTTATTTATACCCCACCCGTCTGGCTGGGCTTCCCCAGCTGCTCTGGGCAGCTTTCAACAAAATATTAAAATACAGCAATGCATCAAACATTAAAAGCTTCCCTAAACAGGGCTGCTTTCAGATGCTGTCTAAAAGTCTGGTAGTTGTTGTTCTCTTTGACATCTGGTGGCGTTCCACAGGGTGGGTGCCACCACCGAGAAGGCCCTCTGCCTGGTTCCCTGTAACTTGGCTTCTTGCAGTGAGGGAACCGCCAGAAGGCCCTCAGAGCTGGACCTCAGTGTCTGGGCAGAACGATGGGAGTGGAGACGCTCCTTCAGGTATACTGGACCGAGGCCGTTTAGGGCTTTCAAGGTCAGCTTTGAATTGTGCTCGGAAACGTACTGGGAGCCAATGTAGGTCTTTCTGACCGGTGTTATATGGTCTCGGCGGCCGCTCCCAGTCACCAGTCTGGCTGCCGCATTTTGGATTAGTTGTAGTTTCCAGGTCACCTTCAAAGGTAGCCCCACATAGAGCGCATTGCAGTAGTGCAAGCGTGAGATAACCTGAGCATGCACCACTCTGGTGAGACAGTCTGCGGGCAGGGAGGGTCTCATCCTGCATACCAGATGGAGCTGCCTTCCTGCCCTGGGCTTCGTTTCCCCCACATGCAACAGCAGAATAATAATAGCAATAATGACCTGTAATAGCAGCAAAGCTTCTCACATTTTGTTGGGAGTTTTTGCTCGTTACTGATATTGACTTTTTGTATCTTTATTTTTAGGTGGAAATTGTTCAGTTTGGCTATGTAGCTTTAAAAGTGTTTTATTTTTATGACTACTTTGCTTTGCTTGCAATTATGTAAATCTTTTCGTATTGTAAGCCACCTCGAGCATTGTTTTAACTCTGGAAAGGCGGTGTACAAAGAAAAAATGATGATGATGATGACGACATTCCTGCATTGCAGTGGGGCTGGACTAGATGCCCCTTTGAGGTCCCTTCCAACTTTGCAATCCTGCGATTCCAAGGAGGCAAGTGACATGAGGAATAATAGAATCGTAGCGTTGGATGGGACTCCCCCAGGTCATCTAGTCCAACTCCCTAAAAGGCAGGAATCTCAACTTAAGCATCCATGACAGCGAAGCAGCCAAAAGACCCCCATTGAGGGGGTGCCTGGAAGTTAAAACCAGCCCCGGGGTTTCCTGGCGTTGATTTTAGGACTTGCCTGCATCTCTGACTGTGGAGGGTTGGTTTTTGTCTGGCTTGAGGTTCCTCCCATTGGTGAATAATAGTGGCTGTTCAATTTCGAAGGCTGTAGACACGAGAAGAAGCCTCTTAAAAGCAGAACGAACATAAAGCAAGCAAGAGAGAAGACCAGCCTTACTGAGGAGACAATAGCCACGCACTGGGAATGCTGCCTTGGAAGAGAATCGAAGGGAACCCAGTGGTCATCTAGTCCAACCCCCTGCAAGGCAGGAGTCTCAACTTGAGTCTCAACCTGGAAGCACACTCCATTGTCCCTCGATACAGAGACGGATGCCAGCGACAACCCTCCATCTTTGATAATTAACATAATCAGCATTGCTATTTTATTGGTTTCTCACCTGCCCTTCAGCATAAGGGCAAATTGCAATGATATAAAAGCACAATATTGAAAAAAATTAATGAACTTCCCATCAGCAGCTTAAGAAGATGACTGTGTTACTTGCCTGTGGCTCTGAGTCCAGAGAGCCTTTTTCTGCCCAACTCGATGTTCGCTTTGACTGTGAACCACCTCTGCTCTCTGCCTCACCTCGCTCCCAGTGCCCCTTAAAAACAGCACAAACAGGCATCGCTGAACTTCATCGCCCATGAGAATTGGCCATGCTGTCCAAGGCTGAAGGGAGTTATAGCGTGAGACGCCGGGAGGGCGCCAGGTTGTACTATACTATTGCGTCGGGCAATCAGCCTTCCAGCCCTGGACTCCGTTTCCCCCACATGCAACAACAGAGTAATAATAGTAATAATGACCAGAAATAGCAGCAAAGCGTCTCACATTTTGTTGGGAGTTTTTGCTGTTGTTACTGATATTGACTTTTCGTATCTTTATTTTTAGGTGGAAATTGTTCAGATTGGCTATGTAGTTTATAAAGTGTTTTGTTTATTTTTGTGAATACTTTGCTTTGTTTGCAATTATGTAAATCTTTTCGTATTGTAAGCCACCTCGAGCATTGTTTTAACTCTGGAAAGGCGGTGTACAAAGAAAAAATGATGATGATGATAACATTCCTGCATTGCAGTGGGGCTGGACTAGATGCCCCTTTGAGGTTCCTTCCAACTTTGCAATCCTGCCATTCCAAGGAGGCAAGTGACATGAGGAATGATAGAATCGTAGCGTTGGATTGGACTCCCCCAGGTCATCTAGTCCAACCCCCTCAAAGGCAGGAATCTCAACTTAAGCATCCATGACAGCAAAGCAACCCAAAGACCCCCACTGAGGCAGTGCCTGGAAGTTAAAACCAGCCCCGGGGTTTCCTGGCGTTGATTTTAGGACTTGCCTGCATCTCTGACTGTGGAGGGTTGTTTTTTGTCTGGCTTGAGGTTCCTCCCATTGGTGAATAATAGCGGCTGTTCGATTTCGAAGGCTGTAGACACGAGAAGAAGCCTCTTAAAAGCAGAACGAACATAAAGCAAGCAAGATCAGCCTTACTGAGGAGACAATAGCCACGCACTGGGAATGCTGCCTTGGAAGAGAGTCGAAGGGAACCCAGTGATCATCTAGTCCAACCCCCTCCAAGGCAGGAGTCTCAACTTGAGTCTCAACCTGGAACCACACTCCGTTGTCCCTCGAGAAAGAGACGGATGCCAGCCACAACCCCTCCATCTTTGATGATTAATATAATCACCATTGCTATCTTATTGGTTTCTCACCTGCCCTTCAGCACAAGGTTCCCAATGCAAATTGCAATGATATAAAAGCACAATATTGGAAAAAATTAATGAACTTCCCATCAGTAGCTTAAGAAGATGACTCTGTTACTTGCCTGCGGCTCTAAGTCCAGAGAGCCTTTCTCTGCCCGACTCGATGTTCGCTTTGACGGTGAACCACCTCTGCTCTCTGCCTCACCTTGCTCCCGGCGCTGCGAACACAGAGGGTGCCCCTTAAAAACAGCACAAACAGGCATCGCTGAACTTCATCACCCATGAGCACTGGCCATGCTGTCCAGGGCTGAAGGGAGTTATAGCGTGAGACGCCGGGAGGGAGCTTGCAAAACTATGATTCCTGGCACCCGTTCTTGATTTTGGCCCAGGTTTTATTTTTTAAAATCATTTTTATTGAATGGTTTTATGATACAAAAAACAATACAACCAAACTCAGCCAAGAGCATAAGGTCAAACAGATTCCTCACTGCCCTTGCAGACAACTTCATTGTCCAGAAAGTGGGAGAAGCAACAAGAGGAACAGCCATTTTAGATCTGGTCCTAACCAATGTTGATGACCTGGTTAGTGGGGTAGAAGTGGAAGGATCATTAGGCGCGAGTGATCATGCTCTTCTGAAGTTTACTATGCAGCGGAAAGGAGCAGCCAAGCATACTAGGACTCAATTTCTCGACTTTAAGAAAGCCGACTTCATAAAGCTTAGGGAAGTGCTGGGTGAGATCCCATGGACAGTAATACTAAAAGGAAAGGGAGTTCAAGATGGCTGGGAGTTTGTTAAGAGGGAGATAGTAAAAGCACAACTTCAGGCAATACCAATGAGACGGAAACATGGAAGGTGCCTAAAGAAGCCAGGGTGGCTATCTAAAGAACTTTTAACTGAGTTAAGATTAAAAAAGGATGTGTACAAAAAATGGAAAAGGGGGGAAACCACCAAAGAGGAATTCAAACAAATAGCCAGCACATGTAGACACAAAGTCAGAAAAGCTAAAGCACAAAATGAACTCAGGCTTGCTAGAGAGGTTAAAAGCAACAAAAAAGGCTTTTATGGGTATGTTCGTAGCAAAAGGAAGAACAAAGAAACCGTGGGGTCACTCAGAGGAGAAAATGGTGAAATGCAAACAGGGGACACAGAAAGGGCTGAACTCCTCAATGCCTTCTTTGCCTCAGTCTTCTCCGATAAAGAAAACAATGCCCGACCTGAAGAATTTGGAGCAAATGATTCAGCAGAGGAAACACAGCCCAGAATAACTAAGGAGATAGTACAAAAATACTTGGCTAGTCTAGATGTATTCAAGTCTCCAGGGCCAGATGAACTGCATCCAAGAGTATTAAAAGAACTGGCAGATGTGATTTCAGAACCACTGGCAGTCATCCTTGAGAATTCCTGGAGAACAGGCGAAGTCCCGGCAGACTGGAGGAGGGCAAATGTTGTCCCTATTTTCAAAAAGGGGAAAGAGAGGACCCAAATAATTACCGCCCAGTCAGTCTGACATCAATACCAGGGAAGATTCTGGAGCAGATCATTAAGCAAACAGTCTGTGAGCACCTAGAAAGGAATGCTGTGATCACCAATAGTCAGCATGGATTTCTGAAAAATAAGTCATGTCAGACTAACCTGATCTCGTTTTTTGACAGAATTACAAGCCTGGTAGATGAAGGGAACGCAGTGGATGTAGTCTACCTTGATTTCAGCAAGGCATTTGACAAGGTGCCCCATGATATTCTTGTAAAGAAGCTGGTAAAATGCGGTCTTGACTATGCTACCACTCAGTGGATTTGTAACTGGCTGACTGACCGAACCCAAAGGGTGCTCATCAATGGTTCCTCTTCATCCTGGAGAAGAGTGACTAGTGGGATGCCACAGGGTTCTGTCTTGGGCCCGGTCTTATTCAACATCTTTATCAACGACTTGGATGATGGACTCAAGGGCATCCTGATCAAATTTGCAGATGGCACCAAACTGGGAGGGGTGGCTAACACCCCAGAGGACAGGATCACACTTCAAAACGACCTTGACAGATTAGAGAACTGGGCCAAAACAAACAAGATGAATTTTAACAGGGAGAAATGTAAAGTATTGCACTTGGGCAAAAAAAATGAGAGGCACAAATACAAGATGGGTGACACCTGGCTTTAGAGCAGTACATGTGAAAAGGATCTAGGAGTCTTGGTTGACCACAAACTTGACATGAGCCAACAGTGTGACGCGGCAGCTAAAAAAGCCAATGCAATTCTGGGCTGCATCAATAGGAGTATAGCATCTAGATCAAGGGAAGTAAAAGTGCCACTGTATTCTGCTCTGGTCAGACCTCACCTGGAGTACTGTGTCCAGTTCTGGGCACCACAGTTCAAGAAGGACACTGACAAACTGGAACGTGTCCAGAGGAGGGCAACCAAAATGGTCAAAGGCCTGGAAACGATGCCTTATGAGGAACGGCTAAGGGAGCTGGGCATGTTTAGCCTGGAGAAGAGGAGGTTAAGAGGTGATATGATAGCCATGTTCAAATATATAAAAGGATGTCACATAGAGGAGGGAGAAAGGCTGTTTTCTGCTGCTCCAGAGAAGCGGACACGGAGCAATGGATCCAAACTACAAGAAAGAAGATTCCACCTAAACATTAGGAAGAACTTCCTGACAGTAAGAGCTGTTCGACAGTGGAATTTGCTGCCAAGGAGTGTGGTGGAGTCTCCTTCTTTGGAGGTCTTTAAGCAGAGGCTTGACAACCATATGTCAGGAGTGCTCTGATGGTGTTTCCTGCTTGGCAGGGGGTTGGACTCGATGGCCCTTGTGGTCTCTTCCAACTCTATGATTCTATACCACCACCAAATATAATTAAGAAATAAAAATTACACACATCAATATTTAGTTTGTTATTTACTGTCTTATTTCCTCCCAAACATCCCATACAAAAACACACATATGTGCAGACACCCACAATGATCATAATGTAAGTAAATATTTTCCCCCTTTTATCTTCCAAAATCTTTTCTTCAACTTTGACTTCCTGTCAAGTCCCTTTGCATATATTTTGCCTTAAAATTGAATGTACGCAAAACAATAAACCTTTCTATATAATTTTTCCAATGCATTCTGAAGACATAATAAATCCTTACTTGTTGTCCACCTCCTTTATCACTCGAATGCTAGCACGGAGTCAAAATTATTATTGTATTTTTGAATGTATCTTCTATAACCATCCCATTTTGGCACAGGTTTTAAGGTGTGTAAAGGTAAAGGGACCCCTGACCATTTGGTCCAGTCGTGGCCGACTCTGGGGTTGCGGCGCTCATCTCACTTTATTGGCCGAGGGAGCCGGCATACAGCTTCCGGGTCATGTGGCCAGCATGACTAAGCCGCTTCTGGAGAAGCAGAGCAGCGCACGGAAACGCCGCTTACCTTCCCGCCAGAGTGGTACCTATTTATCTATTTGCACTTTGACGTGCTTTCGAACTGCTAGGTTGGCAGGAGCAGGGACCGAGCAACGGGAGCTCACCCCATCGCGGGGATTCGAACCGCCGTCCTTCTGATTGGCAAGTCCTAGGCTCTGTGGTTTAACCCACAGCGCCACCCGCGTCCCAATTAAGGCGTGTGATGCTGGGGCCGAAATGGTTCTCCCCATTTTATGTCCACGACCGCCCTGCAAGGTGGGTGAGGTTTGCCCCCCCCCTTAGCTAAGACACCCCCACACCCCCCGCTAAGCGAGCGGCTCCCTTTCACTTTCACTTTCTTCCTAGCCGCTTTCACTTCCCAAGAAAGGGGCGAGGACTTTGCTCTGGTTCAGGAACGCGCCCCCCCCGGGTCCCATCAGCAGCAAAGGAAGCTTTGCCCCCCCCCCAATTTCTGCATTGGGTGGGGCTCTCTGCACGGGAGGAGAGGAGTCTCCCCTGAAGCCGCCGAGCATGTGCAGAGTGCCTCGTCCATCCCTCGCCTCCCTCCATCTCACCTGGCTACGGGATACTTGTCGGGGGGGCTTCTCTGCCTTCCTCTGGTCTCCCCATCCCCCGGACATCACTCGGTGGGGGTGGATCCGGCGCTCAGTCGATCCCCGACCCTGCCTGCTTCGCAGCGCCCAGGGCCCCGATCCCCGGAAAGAGCCGCGCCCTCCGGGCTGGATCTCTCCTCTGGCCGGCCAAGGTGCGAGGAGTTGACCTGCGGAACGCGCTGCAGGGGGAATTGGAAGCCGGCTTCTCCCAGGCTGGGACCCTCAATCCGGGATTTGGGGTGCTGGGACCCCCAAATGGAAGCCCCCACCCCTCTCCACGGCCTTGAGCGCGCACGGTTCCCGACAGCGGCGCGCACCGCGGAAAAGGAAAGCGAAAGTCCCGCGGAGGGAGATCAGCTGCAGCTGGTCTCTTTCTCCGCCCCCTAGAGGTCACTCGCCCCATAGATCCATCCTTCCCCTTCCTTTGCTGGCTTTGTGCCTTGCACAAATTGCTGGTGCCTCTGAGCAGGACCTTGCAGAGCCAAGAAGACGCCCCGGGCCAGGTAGATAATGTGCGCCCCCCCTTTTTTTTACCCTGCGGATAACTGAAGTCTTATAAATAAGTAAGTATATAACGTAATTTTTTATAATGTATTATAATTTAAACCCCTTCCTGGATCACTGCCTTGCTGTGGTGAAGGGGCTTGAAGAACTCAGAGAAGCTATGAGCTATGCCGTGCAGGGCCACCCAAGATGAACAGGTCATAGTGGAGAGTTTTGACCAAAAGTGATCCACCTGGAGGAGGAACCGGCAAGCCACTCCAGTATCCCTGCCAAGAAAACTCCATGGACAGAGCTGGACCATAAAGAAGGCTGATCGCCGACTCTTCGTGACCCCCTGGACCAGAGCACGCCAGGCACTCCTGTCTTCCACTGCCTCCCGCAGTTTGGTCAATCTCATGCTGGTAACCTCGAAAACACTATCCAACCATGTTGTCCTCTGTTGCCCCCTTCTCCTAGTGCCCTCCATCTTTCCCAGCATCAGTGTCTTTTCCAGGGAGTCTTCTCTTCTCATGAGGTGGCCAAAGTACTGGAGCCTCAGCTTCAGGATCTGTCCTTCCAGTGAGCACTCAGGGCAGATTTCCTTCAGAATGGATACGTTTGATCCTCTTGCAGTCCATGGGACTCTCAAGAGTCTCCTCCAGCACCAGAATTCAAATGCATCCATTCTTCGGCGATCAGCCTTCTTTATGGTCCAGCTCTCACTTCCATACATCACTACTGGGAAAACCATAGCTTTAACTATACGGACCTTTGTTGGCAAGGTGATGTCTCTGCTTTTTAAGATGCTGCCTAGGATCACTGCCTTGCCGTGGCGAAGGGGCTTGAATAACTCAGAGAAACTATGAGCCATGCTGTGCAGGGCCACCCAAGACGGACAGGTCATAGTGCAGAGTTTTGACCAAACGTGATCCACCTGGAGGAGGAACCAGCAAGCCACTCCGGTATCCCTGCCAAGAAAACTCCATGGACAAAGCTCAATATCAAAAAAACTGGTGCTGGAGGAGACTTGAAAGTCCCATGGACTGCAAGAAGATCAAACCTCTCCATTCTGAAGGAAATCAGCTCTGAGTGCTCACTGGAAGGACAGATCCTGAAGCTGAGGCTCCAAGACTTTGGCCACCTCATGAGAAGAGAAGACTCCCTGGAAAAGACCCTGATGTTGGGAAAGATGGAGGGCACAAGGAGAAGGGGATGACAGAGGACGAGATGGTGGGACAGTGTTCTCGAAGCTACCAGCATGAGTTTGACTAAACTGCGGGAGGCAGTGGAAGACAGGAGGGCCTGGCGTGCTCTGGTCCAGGGGGTCACAAAGAGACAGACACGACTAAACGACTAAACAACAACAACAAAGAAGACGGAGAAGTTTAATTATAATTTAATTATAAATAGTAGTCAAAATTGTCTATGTAATAAAGTTGTCTACTTAATTCAACTATTTTTAAATAGTTGAATAATGTATTTAAAAATCTATTAAGTAGACAACTACTGGGAAAACCATAGCTTTAACTACCGTATTTGGACTTTTGTTGGCAAGGTGATGTCTCTGCTTTTTAAGATGCTGTCTGGGTTTGCCATTGCTTTTCTCCCAAGGAGCAGGCGTCTTTTAATTTTGTGACTTCTGTCACCATCTGCAGTGATCATGGAGCCCAAGAAAGTAAAATCTCTCACTGCCTCCATTTCTTCCCCTTCTATTTGCCAGGAGGTGATGGGACCAGTGGCCATGATCTTCGGTTTTTTGATGTTGAGTTTCAGACCATATTTTGTGCTCTCCTCTTTCACCCTCATTAAAAGGTTTTTAATTCCTCCTCACTTTTCTGCCATCAAGGTTGTGTCAACTGCATATCTGAGGTTGTTGATATTTCTCCCTGGGGATAACTGAAGTCTTATAAATAAGTAAGTATATAATGTAATTTTTTTATAATGTATTATAATTTTAAATACAGTTTACAATAAATTCATTATTCATTTTAAAATGTATTATACAATTTTTAATAGTCCAATAATGTATTTAAAAATCTATTTATTAAGTAGACAACTTTGACTATTATTTATAATTAAATTATAATTAAAACGTCTCTGTCTTCTTATTCTACTCTTAAAAATGATGTATGCTTGTGAGAAAGCTGCTATTGCTCATAAGCCACTATTTCTTTAAAAAACATGGTTTCCACCCAATTTTATCCTCATTGAGCTATATGTACTCCTCGGGTGTAAGTAATATTCCTGGCCTAGTCAACCAAATTTTAAAGAAATAGCCACATCTTCATCAATTTTTCATCATTTCAAAAAAAAAAAAAGTGATAAGAAAGCCAACACACTTATCTTTAAGGTACGTGTGGTTTTAATTTTTGGCAAACAAGATTTCAAACAAAAAATCACCAACTTTTAACAGCATGAAAAACATGGTCCACCATCACGCCATGGCCCCAGGGAATCCGCCCACTGCCGCCGGGAAAAGGCGTTTATATTCCAAACGGACCTGGTAGCTTAATGCTCCTAAGAAGAGCCTGCAGGATCAGGCCAGTCCAGCTTCCTGTTCTCACAGTGGCCAGCCAGTGTTGTTGGGGATCACTGCCTCAAGTGGCAGAGAGTTCCAGAGTTTAACTTGTGCCGCGGGAAGAAGTCGGAATTGGGATACAGGAATCAGAAGCCTTGCTGCCTCTGACTGAAGACAGCAGAGCATGGCCGTCCATAGTCCTCTCCCCCTCCACAAATTTGTCCAGCTCTCCTGTTAATGGAGAAATTTGAGGTCTCCCTTGGACAAAAACCAAGGACCCCAGCCAGGAAGACCAGAGCAAAAGAGCAGCCAGTCGGCTTGGTCTTTATGGAAGACTCGCGACAGGACTCCCACCTGCCACCAGGTGGAACAAGATGGAAGCCCCGAACAAAAGAGCCCCAACTGTAATTAGCTGCTAATCTCCATGTTACACGCCCCCCCAAACTACACTCATGGTCACGGTTACATCATGAAAGGGGAGGTCTGGTGGCAGGAATCTGAGCATCCTGGACCCTGCCCCATGGTTCTCCTTGCCCTCCAACAAACACCCTTCAAGTGGAACAAAGAGATATTTACATTTCCCTGTTTCCCAGCCAAGTTCATCGCACCCTTTTGTCTTCACCTGGGTTTGTTCTTTCTGGAATGGCTACCTGTCTGGCACTCAGGTATCAGGATGCCAGGGATTATCCCTCAGGCAGAGGGGCTGCTGAGTAGCTGAGCTCACAGGTCTATAGGAATTTCTGAAGTTTTCCCAGTGAGCCAATACAGAGATACATTGATCAGTGGATTCTTACATTTGGTATCGTGCAGCAAAGGCCCTTTGAGTAGATAGGAAGAAACTGTGATGAAGTGTTTTGTGGGGACAAGTCACAAAAGTGATTGTGCTGATTTTGGTAGTGGGCTGCATGTGCATGACATCTGCTGGAGGAGCAAACCCCCCAACCTATACATAAATTCCTGCAACACTCTCCAGGCCACCCCAATCCCAGCTCCCCTTATCTTGCCACCCCCCCTTGTCCCAACCCCCCAAAAGAGAGCCCTGGGCTCATACATGCTGTCAAAAGCCCACATGTTCAAAAAAAAAGTTCAGCCAGTCTTGTTTTTTTAGAAACGGCCTTACGATGAGAAAGTTTTTATTGGTGAATAAATGCATTCTTCTTCATAGTCTCAAGGCAAAGACAAGCCCATTCCTCCCTCTCATCTCCCATAGCACCGAAGTGGTTCTGCTCAGCATCTGAGAACTTTGTCGAGGAGACGGATCCTGGCTGCGCAGCTTAGACCAGCTGTGTTTGTGGCTTGGATGTAAGAGAGAGGGGTGCTCTCCATACGACCGGACCCCAAAATGGCACCAGAAAAGCCCCCTTAAGTCCCCTACAACTGGGCAAGACTTTAGCTCTCGCCTTCACCTTGCTAGCAGTGGGAAATTAAGAGGTCCCAGGACTAGCGATAGCTGGGGGGGCAACACATTTCGCAGTCTCCGAACAGAATCGGGAGGGGGTTGAGGAGTGAGCTCTCTAGGCCCCCTCCAAAATGCTCAGAACGACGGACGAAGGAACCGGTGTGGTGCCTCCTCTTGAGTATGCTAAGGGAGCATCGAGAATCCCTTTGATCCCCATCACTCAGCTCCAGCCTTAGGAAGAAGCAGACACCCCTGTCCCCCCCAAAATGTGGACAAGGCAGCAGCAGCATATGTGGGGACATGTCTGGGTGTTCCCTTTCCCACAGCCCTCAATCGCAGCTACGTGATCCGTTGGGGAAGGAGCCCCTATCAATGGGTTCCCCAGTAATTCTGGCAGCCCAAAGCTGATCTGATAGGCAAGGCCCAGCGACCCGCCGTGCCACAGGGCGAGGGACTCTCAGGTCACCCACAACTGCGCCCCGTGCCGCTGGTGTGAGGGTTGTGAAGTGATTCCCATGGCACTGATTCGAACTCTAGCCTCAAGGGGCCCGATCTGTGGCGCCGCCTCCTGCAGAACCCCAAGTGTGATAGAAACAGGGGAGGCCTAAGAAAAAGATGCTCATTTGCTTTTCTTAGGGAGGCTTTTGCCAGGCAGAAGAGACCCAGTGGGGAAAAACAACATTGAACTGCCAAGTTAGAGCAGACTTCATCAGCCTGGGAGCCCCTTTCGAGATGTTTGGGGCGACAACTTCCACCCGCTGCAGCCCAGAAGGTGCTGCTGTCTGAAACACCTTGGAGGCGGCCAGCCTGGGGGAGGTTAGACTTTGTTGCCGCATCAGAGGGGATTCTGGGAAATAGTTCTGGACTCTGGGCATCTGTACCACTCTGGGCATCCTTTTGGGCGGGGATGAGAGCAAACAG